CCCTGTCCGTGTTCTGTCCATGCCCTGTCCGTGTTCTGTCCATGCCCTGTCTGTGTTCTGTCCATCCCCTGTCCGTGCCCTGTCCATGCCCTGTCCGTGCCCTGTCCATCCCCTGTCCATCCCCTGTCCATGCCCTGTCCATGCCCTGTCTATCCCCTGTCCATCCCCTGTCCATCCCCTGTCCGTGCCCTGTCCATCCCCTGTCCATCCCCTGTCCATGCCCTGTCCATGCCCTGTCCATCCCCTGTCCATGCCCTGTCCATCCCCTGTCCATGCCCTGTCCATCCCCTGTCCATCCCCTGTCCATGCCCTGTCCATCCCCCGTCCATCCCCTGTCCATGCCCTGTCCCCTGGCCGCTGGCTCCTGGCAGGCTCTCAGTGTCTCCCCGTGTCCCCGTTCCGGGGGATGTCCCCAGCGAGGGACACCCTGTGTCAGTGTTACCTGTCTCCTGTCCCACAGGCGGTTTCCTGTGCCTGACGACGAGGAGCAACCCCTCGAACCTGCGGTACAAGGCGGAGCTGGAGGCGGCGCTGGGGCAGCTGGAGCGGAGCGGAGCCTGGCAGAAGCTGCTGGCCCAGGAGGTGGAGTACTGGGAGAGGGCCACCAGCGAGGAGGAGAGCACCCGGGGCAATGGCTACATCTCTGGAATCGTCTACATCTACCAGAAGTGCCCTGTCCCCCACCTCGAGGAGGACTGAGACCTAGCATGGCTCTGGGGGAGCTGGGGGAGGAGGGAAGTGTGAGCACCCTGATAAAACTGAGCCCGGTGACCCCCTCCTGCAGAAGGGCAGCTGCTGGGGGTGACAGTATTTGGGGGAAATTTCCCCTTTCCCTTCCTTCTCTACCTTCTCACCGAGGTCTGGGCTTGGGGTCCTTGTCTCTCCTCAGCACGGGAAGGGTCTCCTGGATTCACCAGGGTCTCCTGGGCACCACCTTTAGCTCTGACATTCAGGTATTGCCCCCAACACCTCACGCTCACCATGACATCTCACAGACCCACATGGCTGCTCCAAGATATGTCCAGTCTGGGTTGTCTTCTCCCCACTTCACCCACCTCAGCACTCATGGTCAAAATCTGGATTCTTCTTCATCTCCTACCCCCAGAGTCTTTACCTGGGGACTGTTGGAGGTGGGTCCCCATCCTCATCCTCCCCAGGGACTGACCCAGTGCTGAGGTGCAGGAGCCTCCACATCCAGAGTCAAAGCAGCAATGCCAAGGTGGCTCCCAGCTGGACGGGCTGTCCAAGTGCCACATCTGCCTTTCATTCCACAACAGCTGCTTGCATCTCTCATTTTCCCACAGCTTTGTAGTTAATGGTCTGGGTGGGGAAATGAGTTTGGAAGAGATTTGGGGAGCTGGTGGCTTCTCCCTACCCAGCACTGCCTGCCCAGCCTGTTCCTCCAGCCCCTTGATGGGCTGCCTCCACAATTTCTCCTCCACTGCTCCCTTGGGAAGTTTTTTACCCAAATCTCTTGCTGGAATATTTGGGGTTCTTTTCATTTTTTCCTTTCCTCAGACCTGTTCCTGCTCATCCTGTTCCCATGTTCCTGGAGAACAAGTTGCATCCATCCCCTCAGGAGCTGTTCCTCCGTGTGAGGACTGTGTCTGTCCCTGTCGCTCACCCAGGGCATGCCTCATCTTCCATACTCGCCCTCCCCATGGCTCTTGTCACCCTCCTGCTTCGTCCCCCATGTTTTGGGGTCCCTGTGCCCATCAGTAGCTGTCCTGCTGCTCCCTCCCCGTTTGTCTCTAGCACTTTCCCCTGGGCAGCTGGTGGTTGTGGCTGTCCCCAGCCCTGCACTTGCCTGTTCAATAAAGCTGTCCCTGCTGTCTGCCTGCTGTGTTTTTCCCAGAGCAATGGGAACATGCACCCTCCAGGGTGGCTGGAGCCTGGGAGTGGGGATTCAGCCTGGGTTGCTCTGGGATCTGCTCCCCGTCCATGGGGGCTCAGAGCACTTGGTGTCCCCCTGTGCCTCTCTTGGCTCCCAGCATCCTCTCCCTGCCTCAGTTTCCTGCTGCAGGGAATGCCAGGAGCACCGTTTCTTGCTACTGCTGATCCCCGTGGGAAGATGGGGATGTTCCAGGTGCTGGAACAGGGCACAGCACCCCCGGGACGCGTCACCATCCTCCCCGTACCGCGCTGTTCAAAACGAGCCCAGGCAGCCTTGGTGGCACCAGGATGTTTATAGTCCCTGCCCTGGGGACAGGCACATTTGGGGACTGTGCTGGGGGTCAGCCACAGTGGGGATGGGCGGGAGGAGGCAGTGCAGGGGCAGGGGGTGGCACGGGGATGCAGGACAGGGACGGTGGTGCTCTGCCTTGGGCTGCCACCTGGGCACAGTGGTCACACATAGTCCTTCATGGCATAGCCCATGGGGCCACAGCTTTTCACAGCCCTGTACTTCTTGGGGTAGGGGTCCTGCTGGGACTGGGATCCCGAGCAGCACAGGACGCCCCCACCGAAGAGCTGCAGGGCGCTGGAGGCCCAGCCGATGTAGAGGGCAGCCCCCAGCTCTCTCTTGAGGGCCTCGGGCACCATGGGGTTGTAGAAGTTGCTGACAATGCTGTTGGCAGACCAGGAGACGGGGATGAGCAGCATGATGCTGGCCATGATGAAGATTACACCTGCCACCGCAGAGATCCTGCTCTTGGTGCCATTGTCATCCACGCAGCGGGTGCAGTCAGCTCCCGAGAGGGCGATGAAGAAGGCAAAGAAGGCCACGAAGATGGAGGTGACCACCAGGGCACGAGCAGCTTGCAGGTCAGAGGTGAGCTCCAGCAGGGAGTCGTAGGCCTTGCACTGCATCTGCCCCGTGCTCTCGTAGACACAGTTCATCCACAGCCCTTCCCAGAACACCTGGGCCACCACGATGTTGGAGCCAATGAAGGCCGTCACCTTCCACATGGGCAGGGCACAGGTGAGGATGGAGCCCAGCCAGCCCAGCGCGGCCATCATCAGTCCTCCCATCTGCATTGTCATCATGGCCATTGACAGCTCCTGCGGGGACAAGCACGGGTGTCACAGGCACAGCCCTCAGCCAGGGACAGCGTGGGCTTCAGCTGCTGTGACCTGCTCCCCACCAGGGTGGGAATGGCTGCAGGTCAGCATGGGAACATGAGTGACATGGTGACTTGAAGGACATGGGGACATGAGTGACATGGTGACTTGAAGGACACGGGGACATGAGTGACATGGTGACTTGAAGGACACGGGGACATGAGTGGCATGGGGCAGTGCTGCAGGACAGGATGGGGCACATGAGGACCAAGTGCCACATGTGCCCAAGGTGCAGGAGCCCCCATGTGTCACACTAGCCCCTGCACTGTCCCCACAGTACAGTCCCTGCCATCACCCCTTCCCAGGGCATGGCAAGTGCCAGGGAAAGGATGGCTTCAGGGGAGCAGGATGGGGAGCTCCAGAGTGCAAATCCCCTGCCCCACACTTACCCCATGTCCTGCCCTGGTGGCCATCCCCCAGTGCCCACCCCACGTCCCACTCCACCACGGGTGCTCAGCCCCCCTGGCCACGAGTCTCGTGCCAGGGGTGAGGGCAGGGAAGGCAGCCCCCCCATCACTCAGCACTGCCTGCTCCCAGTTTGGTTTCACCCTCACGGCCGTGCTCTGGTGCCCTTTGGACCCGGGATCTCCTCTCCAGAGGAAAACGGAAATGGGTCAGAGCTCAGCTCTGCCCCAGTCCCAAGTCTAGCGCTTGGCACCTTCCATGGCACCATCCTGGAGCAGCCCCAGGAAGGCAAACACTGGTGAGGGGCTATGGGGTCACCACAGATGGCATCCCTGAGAGAGGGGTGGCTGGTACAGGGACACATACTGGGCACCCTGGCAGCTCCAGCATGGTCACGTGTGACTGCTGTGGCCCTGGCTCAGCCCAAAGCCAGACCAGCCCCTCACGGAGCAGAGTTCACCCATGGGTGCCTGTGCCACGCTTGGCAGCTGCGACCAGCAGGGTTTTATGGCCCCGAGCTCAGCGGGTATCGGTCATGCCTGGCACACCCTGCGGCTCTTGCCAGAGGTTTCACCATCATTTCCCCTGTCCCAGTTTCAGTTTCTCCAGCCTCTCCTCTCCCGTTGTATCCCCACTCCTCACCCAGCACCTTTTATCCCTCAGGAGCCCGATGGACACCCAGCACCGGGACTTTGCATCCCCTGGGCCATGAAAGACCCTTTGGGTCAAAATCACAGCCCCTCTCCCCGTGCTCCCGGCAGGCAGGGGCAGGGATGGTGGGAGCCATCCCAGGCACCCCTCCCCAGCCAGCGGGACCTGGGCCACACGAGACACCCAAAACGGGGTGCAGGGGACAGGCGGTGGCTCCGTGGATCCCCAGGGATGCTCGACAGAGCGTTGTGCTCACGTTCCCACCTGGCCACCGGCACCACAGGGTTACAGGCACATTCCCCACCATTCCCGTGCCCAGTGGAGAGACTGGGGAGCCGGGAGTCCTCCAGCCCTCAGATCCAGATGAGGATCCAGAGGCAGGCGGAGTCACTCCTCGTCCCCACGGAGCCCGAGGTGGGAAGGAAGGAAGGAAGGAAGGATGTTCCCAAGGCAGAGGAGCACTTGCCGTGCCGGAGGCGAGACAGACAAACCCCGGGGAGCTCGGAGCCGGGGCCATCCCACAGCCCCGGCTCAAGAGGCTCCG